CATCAAGGTGGAACAAGAATCAAAGATCTTTATATTCGTTGTGGGAAAATAAGGATGTGGTCACAAGAAAATCTGGGTTCCCTCTCTGCAGTTCACATAAAAGGAAAATAAAATATTGTCGCAGACGATCTCAGCAGGAATCATTGGTCTCAAACAAACTGGTCTCTCCATCCACAGATATTTTCCTAAATAGTAGAAAGGTTCAGTATCCCTGGCATGGAAAGTGAACAGGAAAGTTCCTGTTTCTTCACTTTTCAGACAAGACAATGCACATTATGACATTTCAGTCTTGCTTACCTGTTTCCTCCGATTCCCTTGATTCCGAAGGTACTTCAGATGACCAGAACAGACCAGGCATGAGTTCTTGCAATCCTTCCTTATTGGCCGAACAGGAGTTGGTTCTCGACATTAAAACAAATGGTGCTAGAATCTTGGGAACTTCAAGTCTCGGATCATCTATTGGAGAGCGTTATTCTTCCAGAAAAACCACTTCAAATGTTCAAACTGATGGTTTGGCTGTCGCAACGCTAGTTTTGCAACGTAAAGGTATACTGGAAAGTCAGTTTAATGCCATTCTGAACTCTACCATAAAATCAACTTCGAAGATCTACCTTAGAATATGGAGCAAGCTTCTACATTGGTGTAATCATAATGAGTACATTCAGTGTGAACAATCTGCTAGGATTATTCTCCAATTTTTGCAAGAGGGGTTTGAAACCGGTCTCAGTGTTTCTACCTTTAAGTTGCATACAGCTGGGTTTTTTTTTACTTAAAGATTTTGCTGCTTGTCTGTTGATAAGTCTTTTTTTTTTTTTTTAAAGGCCATTTTGCTGAGAAGATCTCCTCACAAATTTCAGTTCCCTTTATGGGATTTATCGTTGGTACTTCGTTCTTTATGTGAAGAGCCTTTTGAACCACTAGAGAATGTGTCATTTAAGTTGCTATCTATCAAGATGTTGTTCCTAGTAGCAATTACCTCAGCCAGAAGGATTGGGGAACTTTAAGCCCTTTCGTCCTCATCGAAATTCATCAAGATAAAGTGGTGTTACATCCTAAACCATCCTTCTTGCCAAAGGTTATTTCTAGAAAGTCTGTTAATGAACTGATTGTGCTTCCATCATTCTGCAGTTCTGGTACATCTGATCAGGAGCAGAAGTGGCAGATGCTGGTTGCTGGATGTGCGCAGACCCCTTCATATTTACCTGGCTCGTTAGACCATCGGATCATCTGTTCATAAACTTTTAGGGCAGCTGATGGGTAAAGAGGCATCAACACCCACTCTGGCTAGATGGCTTATGGAGGCTATCAAATTGGCTTACAAATCACGTGATGTTCCTTTGCCTATTCCTATTAGAGCCCATTCTACTAGGGCTACGTTGACATCCTGCGCTAAGAGATTCAATGCTTTTAATCTTTATCAATGTTTTGGGATTTAATACATTTATAAAACATCGTCTAGACATCTTTTCATCCTCATAAGGATCTTTTTATATCCTTATTGGTACTGCCACTATATGTTATGAAAAACAGAAATTGGAATGACTGTAAATAATTTTTTTCTTAATATAGTGGCAGTACAATTTCCTCCCATATTTTAATTAATATTGAGCATGGAATGGCTTCTTGTGTTTTCTTTTCATATACTGTGGTTCCTGGTCTTGAATCAGGTATTTAAAGGGGAAGGAGGAGGGACTATTTAAATGTATATATTTATTTTACAGTCGGTTTGTCCCTAAGAAGATATATAACCCCACTGGTACTGTCACTATATTAAGGAAAAAAGAATTTACGGTAAGTAAGATTTCTGTTTTTTAATGTTAAAATTAGTGTAGGATCCACCAATATTGGAGTACTGTGACACAGTGGTGGGCTTAATATTATATTGCTATATGATGGAACTGGATCCTCATATTTGTTTGCTGATATTTGTAGGCGATTTTAAGTAGCCTTATAAAGTTTAAAATACTGTATATTGTTTTGTGTGAGCTTTTCTTAATCTGTATTTTGGAGTAAAAATGGAGGCTGTAAACCCCCTAGTGCTAGCAGCCTCTGAAAGCCCAGTAGGCATGTCTGTCTTATACAGCATCATATTTACTTCCTGAAAACAATACACTGAGTGAGTCACACAAGACAATGAGAATTGCATCAGATTTTTGAGAAAATGACCATAAATCTGGCTATGCCCCCCCCCCCCTCTCCATAGCAGCAATCAAATGGTATAATAATGGGGAAAAGGAGTGAAATTGCAGTACTAATAATAAGGTGTAGGTTTATACACATACACACACACAAAAAAAAAATTATATTGCAGCAAAAACTGGTGGGCACTGCCCCAGCTGAGCCCATGGTCAAGCCTCCATTAACTTAATGATACCCTTCAAGTATACTTTTACTAAGATGTCACACACTCTAAAGTGGTCATGGTGATACACTGATCAGCCACAACCACTGACAAGTGAAGTGAATAACATTGATTATATCATTACAATGACACCTGTCAAGGGGAGGGATATATTAGGCATCAAGTAAACAGTCAATTCTTGAATTGTATGTGTTGGAATCAGAAAAAATGGGTGAGCAAAAAGATCTAAATGACTTTGACAAGGGCCAAATAATGATGGCTAGAAGACTTGGCTATAGCATCTCCAAAACACCACCACCATCAGTGTCATGGGCGCCCAAGGCTCATTGATGTATGTGGGGAGCGAAGGCTAGCTCATCTGGTCCAATCACACAGAAGAGCTACTGTAGCTCAAACTGCTGAATTGCATTATATGGGTCTGCCCATGATGACCCTTGAAAGCGCCTTCAGTGGGGAGGTGAGTGTCAGAACTAGACTATGGAGCAATGGACGACTGTTGCTTGCTGTGATGAATCACATTTTCTTGTAGATCAAGTGGATGGTCCGTATGTGTTAATCATTAACCTAAGAAATGGCAACAAGAGTCCCTATGGGAAGAAGGCCGGCCAACGAAGGCAGTGTTATGCTCTAGGCAGGGCCGTCTTTAACGCAGGGCAAACGGGGCAGCTGCCCCAAGCCCAGTTGCTCCTGGGGGGCCCCAGAGCAGTTGCCCCGTGGGTCCCGCGATTTGCACAGCCACCATGGACCAGGGGGTGCAGCTGCACAGAGCCGCACCGGCCCGCCCACTAAGGAGGCCCCCCCGGGTGGCCCATGCACTAAGTGCCACCCGGTGGGCATTTGTTAGCAGGGGCCCGGTTGGGTGCTTTGACGCTTAAACAGCGCGACCGGGCCCCTTCCTGTTCGGCAGCTAGCTGGGAGGAAGTGAGTGCCGCTCATCACTTCCTTCCACCAGAGATCAGAGCCGCGCAGGAGGGGGAAGGCAGTTAGGAGGAGAGTTCCAGCAGATAACTCCCAACTGCCTCAGCCTGCCACTGGACCCCAGGGAACCCACCCTCCAGAAAAAGGTAAGGTGTGTATGTGTATGTGTATGTTAGTATGTCTGTGTGTGTGTGTGTGTGTGTGTGTGTGTGTCAGTATGTGTGTGTATATGTCAGTATGTCTGTGTGTGTGTGTGTATGTCAGTATGTCTGTGTGTGTGTGTGTGTGTGTGTGTGTGTGTGTGCATGTCAGTATCTCTGTGTGTGTGTGTCATTATGGCTGTGTGTGTGTCAGTATGTCTGTCTGGGTGTATGTCAGTATGCCTGTGTGTGTGTGTGTCAGTGTGTCTGTGTGTGTGTATTTCAGTATGCATGTGTGTGTGTCAGTATGTCTCTGTGTATGTCAGCATGCCTGTGTATGTGTGTGTGTGTGTGTGTGTGTCAGTGTGTGTTTATATGTCAGAATGCCTGTGTGTATGTATGTATGTATCTATCTGTGTCTGTGTGTTTGTCAGTATGTCTGAATGTGTGTCAATATGTCTGCCAGTATATATTTGTGTGTCGGTGTATGTGTGTGTCAGTATGTATCTGTGAATGTTTTAATATGTCTGTCTGTGCAATTTATGTGGCTGTTACTTTGACATGTACAACATATCTAGAGATTGTTGCAGATCACACTCGTCACTATGTTGAAACAGCTGTGACCAAAGTAGCCAATGATCTTATCACTGCTAAAACCCATGGCGTCTACTCTATCCTAATCCTCCTCGACCTTTCTGCTGCTTTTGACACTGTTGCTCATCAACAGCTTCTTCTCACCCTCCTTAATCTCTGTCTACGATATACTGCTCACTCCTGGTGCTCTTCCTACCTCTCCCAGCACTCATTCAGTGTTTCCTTTTCTGGTTCTGCCTCTTCTAGCAAATCCCTCTCTGTTGGTGTTCCCCAAGGGTCTGTCCTTGGTCCCCTATTGTTCTCAATCTACATAACCTCTCTTGATAAACACATCACCTCCTTCGGCTTCCAGTATCATTTCTTTTTTTTTTTTCTTCTTTTAATTCTTTACTTTATTCGTGCAGAGATTTAACATGCAATGTTGTACTGCCACAACAGCTGATGCATGCCGATTTTTAAACATATGATAACAGTAGTATGGCATCAATAACATTGTACTTTTTTTTGTATTACGGAAGGATACAGTATTAAATAATAAGCCCACATGTCACAGCAATAATCAGCAAATACTGGTAGGTGTGGGGCTTCCTGATAATAAGAACCACTGGGTCACAATACACAAACAACTAACCAAGTTTAAACTGACCCCTGTGGCAAAGAGACTGACACTTGCAAGGGCAAATTTAAAATAAATGGGCACAATATAAGGGTAAATAACAGTAGCTTATGTCCTATATCGAAGCATGTTGTGCCAGAGAATTATACTAATTATGAGCCTGTGTGATTAACAAGAAAGTAATTGAGCTTCTAGCCATGCATATTAATACATCAAATTAATCAAGCTGATTAGGCCTATATAGGTTAAGAGGGTTACTGTAAGCGTCATGGCTGCAACTGTTTATAGGTGAGTCCCCATATGTGTGCTGTAGAGCTGCCCTTGGGTGTGAGCAATCTGCTAGCCGATAGCCTGGTCTGGGGTGCTTAAAGCAGGTAAACATAGGATCCGGGAGGCGATGACACCTTGGGTGTGACAGAAGGGCTCTTCTGCTGCCCCAGGTCGGATTCCAAGCCGACATCATTGTGCCATTAACTTGGGAGTCCAAAGAGACCAAGTTCAGCATGAGAGAGGGGAAACAGAAGGCCATGATGTTACTGTGCTCCTGGTGGTGGCGAGACCTCTGCCTGTGTGGGTGATCTTGCAGTGTCTTGCCCCTTTTTGCCCTCGGCCTGGATGGGCTTATATTTAAAGCAGGTTTAACTATAGTAACTTGTTTGCCCGGAGAATTTGCGCCCATCAGCCGGCCCCGCTCACCCGAACCTCCATCTGAAGAGGAGATGACTTGGCCGTCTGACGTGCCTCTAAGGCAGCCCAGAAATTATCCAGGAGCTCCTCCAGTAGCTGCCAGGTTTGCTTTGTTAGACTTGATGGCCTTCTCTCAGGCTCACCCGGGGCAAGTATAGCTGCTATCTTGTGCAGCCGTTGCTTGTACTGGGCTTGTGCAGGTGATGAAAATGTTGCCGGTATGAGTTGCCAGCCAGTGGAGACCGGGATAGCCACGGTCCAAAGGGGGGGAAACTGGAACCAAATCACTCCTGCGTCTGATTGCCACTGAACAGGGAGATCTGCCATCCCTCCCGCTCAAGTCTCGTTAGGCTGCAATTTAACTGGGTCTGTTCTCCGGGTCCTTCAGGGCACACTGATGCGACAGTAAATCTCTGGTAGCTTTCCTGCACCTCAAAATCGCAGCCAGAGCTGATTAATCGATGGTGAGCGTACGTATAGTCAATTTAATTGAAAATATGTAGGGAGCTCACCAGCCACATGTCTGCTCAGTATGGCGGTCAAGCCCCGCCCCCCTCCAGTATCATTTATATGCGGATGACATACAAATTTATCTCTCCTCCCCTGATTTCTCGCCACCCCTCTTGACTGGTGTCTCTGACTGCCTCTCTGCTGTTTCAACTGGATGACTGCTCATTTCCTTAAACTGAACCTGTCCAAAACAGAACTTCTGGTCTTCCATCCCTCAAGAGAATCCTTTGTCTGTGTCCCTCCAAGTCAATGGTGCTACCATCCGCTCTACCTCTAAGGCTCGCTGCCAAGATGTTCACCATGTCCAATCAATTGCCAAATCCTGCCGCTTCCATCTCACAAACATCGCACATCCGACCCTATTTAACACCTGATACAGCAAAGGTGCTTGTCCATGCTGCTGTCCTCTCTCGCCTTGACTATGTAATCCGCTTCTCAGTGGTCTTACGTGTTCCCAGTTTGTCCCGTTACAGTCTATAATGAATGCGGCAGCGAGACTCGTCTTCCTGTCAGTCCTTCCATTGGCTTCCTGTAAGATATAGGGCTCAATTTAAGATCCTGACACTTGCTTACAAATATCTACACAATGCTGCTCCCACCTACTTATCCTCACTAATACACAAATATGTCCCGTCTAGGCCCCCTACGCTTTCCCGGAGATCCACATCTAACCTCTGTTCGTACTCCTACCTTTGATGCTCACCTTAAAGACTTTTCTAGGGCTGCACCATTCCTTTAGGAAAGCATATCAGTTAAACTGTGAACAGCTTTCCCTCCCCGCACCTTGATTCCTCTCCTGAAACTGTCATCAAAACATTCAATGAATTCTATCCTAGCAACCTACTTTTCTACTCTACCCTTACCTTTTGTGTCACTATATCCCACTCCCTCTAGCATGTAAGTTTATTGAGCAGGGCCCTCAAACCCTCTGTTCCTGTGCATCAAACTTGTCTGGTTACAAATACATATCTGTTAGTCCACCCATTGTACAGCGCTACGGAACTTGTCGGCTCTTTATAAATAATAATAATAATAATGTACACCCATTCATGGTTATGGTCTCTCTCAGCAGGAAATTGCACTCTGTCACACTGCAAAAATTGTTCAGGAATGGTTTGAGGAATATAACAAATAGTTCAAGGTGTTGCCTTCGTTTCCAAATAATCCAGATCTCAATCTGACTAAACGTGTGGGATGTGCTGGAACAAAAAATCCAACCCATGGAGGTCAGCACTTCACAACTTTCATTTAAAGGATCTGCTGCTAATGTCTTGGTGCCTTCTTGTAAAGTCCATGCCTCGATGCATCAGAGCTGTGTAGGCAGCACAAGAGGGACCTACACAATATTAGGCAGGTGGTTTTAATGTTATGATCAGTATGTATGTTATATATGCAAATATGCAATTTTTCCAGATCATATGTGTATACCTAGATAAATCTAACCAAGCGTTGTGGTAAATTTTAACTGGTATTACATTGGATGAAAGCAGATAATACATAAAATAACAATATACCCCCTAATCACCAATGGTGCAATGTAGACCTAAAGCTACTTAGCTTTTATGTACAGCTTACCAAGGTCCCTTCCCTGTTGGCGACCTCATATAAACAAAATGTAGTAAGAATTTTAAAATCCCTGGGATGATTTTTTGTTACCGACTATGATTTGTCATTGTAATTGTATGTAAACTGGGCCCTGAGGAAATTTTTGGAAACAAAACGTGTGGGACCAGAGATCAGTTATTGTTTTTAATATTTTATCAGTTTTATGTTACATCAATAAACCAACTTATACTTACCTACCTGGTTCCTGATTTTTAGTCTGGATAGCTGCACTACCACCAGAGGATCCTGACCTCCCTCACAAGGGAAAGCAACTTTAAGGCACTTAACTATTTGGAGTTTGTGAGTTCTATATGAAGTGGGGGCAGTGTTGACACAATCATACAGTGTTGCACTTTTATTTGTTATGTTATATTTTAGGTATCCAGCTGTATCCCATACATTCTGTATTACATACATAAAGCTATACAATATTATGTATTAGCAATAAAAAAATTTAGAGGGTCATATACAGAGTTAGGAGAATGAGGAAAAACTAGTTCTGAGTATTTTCTACTTTGTGACTGTTGTATATTATGTAACATTTCAGGTTTAACTTCAGAAAAAGAACGTCTTTTGAAATCTATATTTTAAATGTGAATATTACACCAGTACTCATGTATAATTTAATCGTATTCGTTTTTTATTGATATGCCATATAAACGTTGTACCTTTTTCCTATAGCTTACACAATTCCAAATAAGTTATTATATAGTAAAAAGTTTGGTTCACGTGGGGTTAAATTCAGAATCTATGCAATCATTTATTTAATTTATAAAACACAGATGCTGCAGCTGCTGCTTAAACTGGAGGGCAACAAAACCCTCTTGCATCCTAAGTGCAAGCGTTCTGCATAAATGCTCTTTTATTGCTTGTGTAGATATGAAGAATATTAGCATAGAAAACAATACTGGGTAATTTTTGCATCAACTCTTTTTGTGGTTTATTGTAATCATGCTGTAATGTATGAGATCTGAACTGTGAGTATGGCAGTTTACAATTTTTGCTTAACAAAGGTACTAAAAGCCAAAAAGCTGGCTCTCCTATTGATTTCATGACACCCAGGTTCACACTGATTTGACAGAAGTTAGCAACAGAAAAGCCAACATGATTATTGCCTATTAATTATGTCACTTAAAACTACCTTTACAAAAACTGCCTTAAACGTAGGGGTGCTCCAAGCTTTTTTGGAGCATTGAAAGAAAAACCTATTACAATAACACCTCAACTAGCCTTCTGTGTGCCTGTGCAAATAGACAGCACCTCTATAATTATAATTGTCATTGCCACACAAATATCTGCTTTAATGTTGTACTTTGACAGGCTATATTAAAGATACAGTACATCAAACATTGAAACTGCAAATATACACAAAAATAAGATTTACCCAATGACTCAGTTTATAGAAAAAATACCCAGGTATGTCAAGTTTAACCTATTAGTGAGCTGTTATATACAGAAGTGGGATTATTAGGACCTGTCTAAATCTCTTGAAAACAGGCACCAATCAGTGCCCAGCTATAAGGAGAGAGTATGCACGGAGAGAGAGGATGCAGTGACAAAGGCAGCATGGGGTATAGGAGAGAGCTGCTCCACACTTACACTTACAACAACCTCAACCAGCAGCAAGACACCAAGAAAATCCCCCTTTTGCACACAAAAGGTATGTGACTGGAAATATAAACATATGTTACGTATGTGTGTATCAATTTCTGAGTGTATCTGTGTGTCAGTATGTGTACATGGCAGTCTGTGTATCAGAGTGTCAAGGTGTATGTATGTGTCACTGTGAGTGTGTTAATGTGTATGTATATCTGTTTAAAAGTGTATGTGGTAGTGTATGTGTGCATACATCCCAGCAATCAAACACCAACACAGCATGCAAACACAAACATTACATGCAAACACACCCCTGCGTTCAAAATCCAAAATTATATGCAAACACATCATTTTATTTAAATACCAAATCTACACACAAATGCACACCTGCATTTAAAATCTAAATCTATATACGCGGCGTGTGTGTTTGTTCTTTAGGGTGCACACCCTTATACAATAGGCTGCGCATGCTTATGTTCCTACACACATTATTATGCCAAGGGTACTTGTACCGGATTACTGGAACTTAATCTCACACTTGATCCTACCAAAAAAATTAAATAATACCCTTTATTTTGTAGTAATTAGTGATGTACTGAACGGTTCGCCGGCGAACGGTTCCAGGCGAACATAGCATGTTCGCGTTCGCCACGGCGGGCGAACATATGCGCGGTTCGACCCGCCCCCTATTCGTCATCATTGAGTAAACTTTGACCCTGTACCTCACAGTCAGCAGACACATTCCAGCCAATTAGCAGCACAGCCTCCCTAGCAGACCCTCCCACCTACTGGACAGCATCCATTTTAGATTCATTCTCAAGCTGCATGCTTAGTAAGAGGAGGGAAAGTGTAGCTGCTGTTCATAAGATAGGGAAAAGCATAGCTAGGTTAGGGATAAGGGTATGCTTTTTTTGGATTTTTTTTTTCTATCTAATGTAAATGCACTTAGTTGTCTGCCACTGCTGCCAGCTTCTGTGTCAGGCTCACAGTGCCCATTTCCCCAGTCAGTGCCACCAATTACATCTGGTGTCACAATAGCTTGGATTTAAAAACAAAAAACTTTTTTCACTGTTATAGATTGAATAGCAGTCAGTTGTCTGCCACTGCTGCCAGCTTCTGTGTCAGGCTCACAGTGCATACTGTGCCCATTTCCCCAGTCAGTGCCACCAATTACATCTGGTGTCACAATAGCTTGGATTTAAAAACAAAAAACT